AAAGAACCGAGAATGAGATAGGCAATAATGGTTACGCTGAAAGGCAAATGAATCAGTTTGTAGTGAGTTTCTTTCTGGGCCAACAGTTCTTCTGAGTATCAATTTCAATGTCAGACAGATCCTTATGTGTATTTGTCAGCAATGATATTTAGTTCTGGATGGTGAACAAATGATGGTAAGACAGGTCCCACCCTCTCTGATTTGGTCCTGGGGAATCTATAGTGACAGCTACTGACTGCTAGTATGGCAAGGCAACATCAGCGTCTTCCATCTCTTGACTGCTTCTCTTCTGTCTTCATGGCTGGAGTAGTCCTGTCAATTCCTCTCTGTTGAAGGAATCCACATGGTCTCAGAGTTGTTTTCTGAAAATATAAAAACATATCCAAAGGAATATTTTCTATAAATTTGACTTGGGATGCTTTTTCATTTTCTGCCCAAATGATTTTCCTTTGGCTTGTTTTGACACTATGTGTGTTTTTCATGGGTGTCTTGCTATTAGCATTACAATTAACTTTTTAAAGTAAAATTTTTCTAGATGTACTTTACTTATAGGATATTTTTCCTTACATGATATTCTTCTACTATCCCCCCCTTTTTTTTACTTAAACGTTAGGAGGCTTTTGAAAATTTTATAATGTAATGTTGATAGCTTTTAAATTTTAATTTTTTGCACTCTAATATGACTGCTTTAGGTTCATTACATGTTATGCAATTTTACCATGAGATGAACTACCAATAAAAATTTTAGTTAACACTTTAAGAACAGCTTTTTGTCCAGTACAATTAATTTTTCTAGGATATTCGCTTATTTCAATTAGCCATTTTAAATTAGCCTGAAAATTTGACTACTATTTTACTGTCAAATTTAATACAACAATTTTATTTTACCCTGTAAATATTAGTGGAAAGGATTATTTGCCTTCTTGAGTAGGCCCTGAACATTCCTGGTGATAGGCTGGATTTAGATATCAAAAACCCACTTCTCCACGCTATGGGTACAAGACAACTCACACAAGTCTTGTTGCAGTGAGAGGGCAGCTGCTGTTGGCCAAGCCTCTGTTACCTGGGTCCTGATTTGAGCTGGGCATGGGAAGTGAAGCAGCCATGAAGGCAGGAGACCTCCCTCAGCAGGGGTGAGGGTTCAGGCTCCTGGGGGGGTGAGGGTCTGGGTCTGTGCCCCACCTCTGTTGACCCCCAAGTTCTCTCCTGATAGCCCCTCTGCAATTGTGTTTGTCCGGGGCCAAGCAGGGTGATGTGAGGTTCAGTTCTGTCTCCTTGGTAGCCTATACACCACTCTCCCCTCCGCGCATAGCACTTGCCTTGGGATTCCCTCACTTGCTGGCAGGGCCCCAGCACTGATCACATACCTTGGGGACAGTTTGCCTCATGGGTAAGAGACAGATCCATGGTACCAGTCATCCCAAGGCTTCAACCTCAACATGATCAGAAAGCTCAGGCAATAGCTGTGGGCAATTGGATTGTGAGAAGAGGGACCAATATAGCATGCTCATGTTCCTTTCCAGGGGACTCTCTACACAATGGAAGGATTAAATGCTTTCATGTCCTTTTTAAATTGCTGTCAGACATTCAAAAAATTAGTTTGTAAGTTTGCTTGGGATAATTGTATATTATGCTGTTGTAATTTTAAAATATCAAGAGACTAGTGACCCAGTGCATGGATTCGTGCACATTGAAAGGGAATTTAATTAGAAGGTGGCCAGCAGGGCAAGACTGGGCAAGATGGGCCAGACACGCCCTGGAGCCAACCTCCCATGATCCATCCCCAGCTGGCCACACCTGGGACAGCTCTGTGGTTCGAAGGTTGTCTGCAGAGTGAGCGGGGTTCCTCTGGCAGGTGCTGTCCCTCGCCTAGCCTAGGAGGACCAAAACCAGCTCTACGACATCCCCTGAGGGGTCCTGATTGCAAGAGGGCAGTTCTCAGGTGACACCCCCCCCCCCCCTGCTCCCAAGAATGGGGCTCTCTCTTCTCTAGTTCCAGGTGTGTCACCCAAGAACTGCTTCTACCAAGTCATGGCAGCTCAGCAATTCCTGCATTGAACATCTGCCCCCTGGTGGTCAGTGTGCACAATAGCCGTCAGTTGGACAGTCAGACACTTAGCCTTTTATATATATAGATGTGTTAACTTTGTCTCCAAGCACCAAAATGATGATTTTTTTATTGATTCCCAAGTGTGCGAGGTACTAGGTATTATAGGTGATGGAGGTAACACAAGTCTGGGAAAAATTATAATGATATTGTAGAATAATATTATGTAAGGATATTCTTTGCTCTAGGCCATGGCAATTCCATTTCAAACTGGCTGTCAATTTCTTTTTTGCATAGACAAGGTCTTATAATAGTTACATTTTTTGCGCCTCTCCCAGGGGCAAGTAGTGATAGTAGTGACACCCTTTCTTTGGTGTCCACACAAGGCAGAAACCTCTTTAATTTTACACACAGAGGGGCAGTGGTTTGATTTTGTGTCATACAAAAGGGAAGCTGGGTGGAGACCCCTGTGTAATTATACTTCCTTGTCCCACCCGTGGTCCTCCTGGATGACCAAGGTGTTTGGTATTATTGGTGACTATATTAGACGGAGGATCAGCCCATGTAAGGAGTCTTACCCGTGAAGGGTCAGGAGCATAAGTCCAAAATACTTCCCCATTTTCCCCAGATAATATTACCATACTATTGATTATTGCTAGCATTGCTAGAAAAACGTTATCAGGCATTCTTGGGTTTCTGGTTACCTCACAATTTCTTCCCTGAGGTTTGAAGTTCTGATTGATGTTTCTCTATCTTTGGATCTATTTTTTCCCCCCATCAGCTTATGTTGTTCATTATATTCCACAAATGAGTGAGATCATGTGATATTTATCTTTCTCTGCCTGGTTTATTTCACTAAGCATAATGTTCTTCATCTCCATTCATGTTGTTGCAAATGGAAAGAGCTTTTTTACCGCAGCGTAGTATTCCATTGTGTAGATGTACCACAGTTTTTTAATCCACTCATCTGCTGATGGGCACTTAGGCTGCTTGCAAATCTTAGCTATGGTGAACTGTGCTGCTATGAACAAATTGGTGCATATATCCTTACTGATTGATGTTTCTAGTTTAGTAGGATATATTCCTAGAAGTGGGATCATGGGGTCAAATGGGAGTTCCATTTTTAGTTTTTTGAGGAAACTTCAAACTGTTCTCCACAGTGGCTGCACCAGTCATAATTCTCACTAGCAGTGCATGAGGGTTCCTTTTTCTCCGGATCCTCTCCAGCACTTGTCATTTGTTGACTTGTTAATAGCCATTCTGACAGGTGTGAGATGGTACCGCATTGTTGTTTTGATTTGCATCTCTGATGATTAGTGACTTTGAACATGCTTTCATACATCTTTTGACCTTCTGTCTTCTTTCGAAAAGTGTTTACTTAGATCAGTTGCCCATTTTTTGATTGGGTGGTTTATTTTCTTTTTGTTAAGCTGCATGCATTCCCTGTAAATGTTGGAGATTAAGTCCTTATTGTTGATAACATTGGCAAATATGTTCTGTCATGCAGTGGGCTTTCTGGTTTTATTGATGGTTTCCTTTGCTGTGTAAAAGCTTTTTATTTTGATGTAGTCCCACTTGTTTATTTTCTCTTTAGTTTCCATTGCCCTTGGAGCAGTATCAGCGAAGAAATTGCTTTGGCATATGTCAGAGATTATTCTGCCTATAGATTTCTGCCCTAAGAGGCCCCTGGGTCTCAATGTCCCAGGGTAATCTCTGCAAGCACCTCTGAGAGAAAGTCTTCCTCGAGTTCCGCCCACTGGTAGACAGTCCAGTTTCTCCCCATATTAATCTGGGTCACCAGAGTCTAGCCCAGAACTGGAGTTCAGAGCAGTCGGAAGCTTGTGTCTCCCTCCCAATTGAAAAAGCCAACTACATACATACATACTCAGTTGCAAGCGCGTGCCTCCCTACCTCTGCAGTTCTGCAGCTCCTCTGAGTCTCAGTGTGCTTTTCTCTTTCCTTCTAGTTGTAGAGTTTCCACTCAGCCAGCCTTCCTGTGGTTCTGGATGATGTCCATTTTGTCTGTTAGTTGTAGTTTTGAAGTGTTTGTGTGAGGCAGCAAATTTGGGTGTTTACCTATGCCTCTATCTTGGTCTAATCATTTCTTATTTGTGACCTCAGTTGGGTCAAGTATGCTTGGCCTTTAGGACACACTGTTCCTTCCTTAATTTGAGGAATGCCAGTTATTAAATCCCCATTATCTAAGGTTTCTTTGTTTCATTGGAGTCTGATCAACTTCGTTTTGCTCTTCTTTTAAGTAGACGAGAACGGAGATTCAAGTGTTTCCTGATTGCCTCTATCTAGTGGTGTTTTTTATTCTGTATCTGTTCTGCAAAGCTTCTATAGTAAGAGAAAATCCTGGATGACTTTCCTCTATTGTCCTTTTCTGTTCCACCAACCACACTAAAGCTGAAACCAGACAACCAACAACCAATTAATCAGTCCTGGCAGCCTGTCATTAATTGAGCCAATACAGCAGAGACAGGATTGAATCATAAATGACCATTTATTCCAATAAAGCCTACAGTATGGAAGAGCAGCAAGTCAGCCACGAAAATCAGCTCTGTACCTTCCCCCTCAATTCTTAGTACTATTAAGTAGATGTTTTGGTGAATGCCCTTCCCCCACCTGAGGATATGTTTTGAGAGAGAGAGAGAGAGAGAGAGAGAGAGAGAGAGAAGTAAGTTAGTTCTTGGACCTGAAATTTTTTGGTTTATGGGACAACACTGAGTTGTGAGCTACAAGTTATCCAGTGTTATTATGAACCAATTAAACCTTTTAACTAGAATGTTATTATGGAAAGCAAACTTAAGTTTTTCTGCACCAAAGCCTGATAAAGTTTGATTTCACATTGAATTATAGGTTCTTCTGGGCTCCTGCTGAAGATCTGTCCTGAAAACTGTGATTAAGTAAATTTTTTGATAGAAGAAATTTGTTGCTTCTGTTTATCAAGATGATTACACCTTCAAAACATCCAGAAATTCATTTGTCCTCAGAGACATCTTCTCAAAGGAGAAATATGCCCATTCATGCAGTCTTTTTTGACAGCATTCCTTCAGGGACACTTACTCCTGTGAAAGATTTGCTGAAATATCAGAACTCCTTTCTAAAACTGAATGACCAGAAAAAGAATCAACTCTCAGAAATGAAATTTTTTCAAGATAAAAATGTATTTCATTCTACCATGCTAGCAGAGCCTAGCACTTCTAACAGTCTTCTTAATATTGATATCAGTGCTATAAAACCCAATAAGGATGGATCAAAAAATAAAGCAAACTATGAATCACCAGGAAAAGTATATCAAAGAATGAAAGAGAAGTTAATGTATACTAAACAAGAACAAGCATCACCAAAAAGTGAAAGTAACAAAATTTTTATGCATAATGGAGCTGAGAAAAGAGTATTGCAGCATACCTACCTCTATGAGGAAAAGGAAAACAACAAATCATTTAAATCAGAAAACAGCTTATTAAGAGGTTAGTTATATTATGTGTTGGTTAAAAAGCTATAATGTGTTATTTATTTACACCCTAAACAAAAGACAAAAATCCCTGCCCTTTGTAGCTAACTCACACTCAGGTGGTGGGGATTAGATACAGTAGATAATTTTTATGTACAGTAGAAGTGCTATGGAAAGAAATATGTAGCAGAGTAAGGATAATAGGGAGAGTTAGAGTAGGTTGTAATTTTCAGTGGGATAGTCAGGATATGCTTCCAAGAGAATGTGACATTTCTGCTGAAAAAACTGAAGAATGTGATAGATACAGATAGGTATCTTGGAGAATGGGGAAGGATGATCCAGACAGGTAATAGCTGGTACAAATGCCCTGAAATTCTGTTATTTCAGGAGTGTGCCTCACAAGTTCAAGGACTAGCATGAGATTAATATATCTTGGAATGAAAGTACAGAGCTGGGGAAGTGCGGATAAATAAGAGGGTCAGATTATGTAGAACCTTAATAGGTGAAGGTAAGATTTTTCTGCTTTTATTGTGAGCAAAATAGGGAACCATTGGGAGGTTTTAAATAGAGGGATGATAAGATCTGACTTTTGTATTTATTTATTTAAGAAATATATTTTATTTATTTATTTATTTATTTATTTATTTTTACAGAGAGAAAGGGAGAGAGATAATTGGAAACATCGTTGAAAGAGAAATATCCATCAGCTGCCTCCTGCACACCCCTTTCTGGGAATATGCCTGCAACCAAGGCACATACCTCTGACCAGAATTGAACCTGGGACCTTTTAGTCCGAAGGCCGATGCTGTATCCACTTAGCCAAACTGGTTTTGGCCTGACTTATGTTTTTAAAATATCATTCTGGCTGTTAATTTGAAATAGTTATTTACAGTAATCCAGGTGAGAGATTGTGTTGGCTTGATCCAAGTGATAGCAGTGAAGATAAGAAGTGGTTGGATTCCGGATATATTTTAAAGGAAAAACCAATCACGTTAGCACATGTGGGGTGTGGAATGTCAGAGAGGTTATAAAGGATGACTCCATAGAGTGTTTATTTTCCTGTTGTTGTTTGGCTTTGTTTTTATTACCCAAGCAACTGGAAAGATATGGTGCTTTATCTGAAATGAAGCAGATTAAAGGAGAAGTTGGATCAGGATCTCATTTTTTTCATGTGAATTTCCATGTCTTTTAAAAATGTGTGTGTACTGTGAAAAAAAATTAGTTGTAATTAAAGGGCATAGTCCAGGTGAGAAAAATATATTTGGGAACTACTAGTACCTAAATGGTTTTTAAAACTATGAGATGAGATCATCAAGGATTAAGTGTAGAAAGAGGAAATATTCAATAATGAGCCCCCAAATTTAGAAGTTAGAATAAGTGATAGAAAGCAGTAAAGGCCACTTAGAAGAAAAGGAAGAAGAAAAATTAAGATTGGTACTTTGGCAGCCAAGACAACAAAACTAATGCTGCAAAATCAGTCGGGTAAAATGAAGGCTGAGATTTGACCATTGGGTTTAAGAATGTGGAGGTCATTGGAGACATTGATTAGAGCAGTTTTGGTGGAATAATGGAAGCAAAAACATGATACAAAAGGGTTTAAGAGAGAGTAGAGACAGAAGTTGATAATGGTGAATGTAGACAACTCTTTTTGTGAGGAGCTAAGAAATGACATTAAAATATTTTATTGTTTTTAATGATTGTGAAATAACATTTTTGTATGCTGTTGGAAATAATCCAGTAAGGAAGGAAAGACTGAGATAAGAAGTCTGATACCCTTCAGAGGCTGAGAAAGAATAAAATCTAAAAGTGGAGATTTGGCAGATCTAGCTGGTTTGGCTCAATGGCTAGAGCATCAGCCTGTGGACTAAAGGGTCCCAGGTTCAGTTCTGGTCAAGGGTGCATTCCTCAGTTGCAGGCTCAATCCCTGATCCCTGTCAGGATGTCTACTGGAGACAATCAATTGATGTGTCTCTCATGTACATGTTTCTCTATCTCTTCCCTTCCCTTCCACTCTCTAAAAGACCAATGAAAAAAATACCCTTGGGTGAGGATTAACACACACAATAATAATAATAATAATAATAATAATAATAATAATAATTGTGGAGATTTAGGAACATAAACAGATCATCAATCAAACAGGAAGGTAGGCAGTATTGTATTATTTTGAGGTATGGAAATTTGAATAGTGTAAGAGACTGGAAGAGTGAATGGTCTAGGCTTAAATTTAATTTTCTGGGCAACATTAAGAACCTAGCTGAGATATATGGACATGGATTTAAATAAGACCAATCAGTATGATTGTGAGTATTCCTCTTGCCCTATTAGCTGTATAGGTACTGGTGGGGAATAGTCAAGGAGTTGGATTTTAACAGATTATTATTTTGCTAAATAGGATGAAGTGAGAGGAATACAAAGTAGTTGGGGTAGCCCTTTCAGCAAACGATATGGTAGATGCTTATTTAATAGACATGGAATGGAACTTACAAAGAAGTTTTATCTATCCTATGTCTACAGATAATATAATAAGTGATGGGCTGAGAATTAAATACAAATATCTGTTTGAAAGCCCACAGTCTTAACTACTACTTAATAGATTATGGGTGCATTTTTGTGTTTCAAAGACAGTGATATATTTTGACACAGAAAGAGTTCTCTATGTAAGTTTAGGCTGGAGGTGGGGGAGTACACAAAATAGTCTGTTTCTCATACCCTAAGAGAAAAGGTAGAAGCAAGTGAAATACACACATTAAAGCACATTTTATATGTAATTTGGAATTAGAGGAAGAGATAAGTAACTTGCTTTGAGAATCTGATCACTCTTTTCCCAGAAAAGACACATATATACAAACACAAATTTTGTATGTAGTTTCAGAGACCCTCTGCATGGATGTTGGACGCTCAAATAAATCACCCAGGTTATAAACAGCATGTTATATTTGATCAAATTATCTGCTTTTCTTTACTGCATTGTCCTGCCATTTCTGTAGAACAAGTAAAATAGAAATTTGTCCTTTTATACCATGTCTTTATAATAAAATCTATAGCTCACCTGGCGTGGCTCAGTGGTTGAGCATTGACCTATGAACCAGGAGGTCATGATTCATTTCCCGGTCAGGGCACATGCCCAGGTTGCAAGCTCAATCCCCAGTGTGGCGTGTACAAGAGGCAGTCAATCAGTGATTCTCTCTCAACATTGATGCTTCTTTTTTATTTTATTTTGTTAGAGAGAGGGAAAGACAGAAACATCATTGTGAGAGAAACACATCGAACATCAATGTGAGAGAAACACATCGATTGGTTTCCTCCTGCACATACCCCACCAAGGGCCCCGGCCAGGGAAGAGCCTGCAACCAAAATGGGTGCCCTTGACCAGAATCGAACCCTGGACCCTTTGGTCCACAGGCTGATGTTCTATCCACTGAGCCAAACCAGCTAGGGCTCATTGATGTTTCTATCTCTCTCTCTCCCTCTACTTTCCTTTCTGAAATAATTTAAAAATTGTAAGAGAAATAAAATCTTCATATTATGATTCTTAGGCCAAAGTCGCACATTTATTTATTTATTTTTAACATATATTTTATTGAATTTTTTACAGAGAGGAAGAGAGAGGGATAGAGAGTTAGAAACATCGATGAGAGAATCATCGATTAGCTGCCTCTTGCACACCCCCACTGAGGATGTGCCCGCAACTAAGGTATGTGCCCTTGACCGGAATCAAACCTGGGACCCTTCAGTTCGCAAGCCAATGCTCTATCCATTGAGCCAAACCGGTTTCGGCCAAAGTCGCACATTTAAAGCACATTCACTCCTGATTTTTTTCAAGTATAATATTTGAAATTAAACATAAAATAATTTAGTTAAATGCTAGGAGGTACAGCAGAATAAAATGTAAGCAGTGCTCAAAGATCTTATTGTTTAGTTGATAAGCCTACCAGATTTGTGCATTTGAAGATTGCTAAAAGAGCTGTCAAAGGGGTATAAATTATTATTGAGCTTGCTTTTGAGTCTCAACATTTTGATTTTTAAAACATAAGTTACAACACTTCAACTATTCTTTCATAATTTAGAAATTTACAGCAGCCAGAAGCAGACTTTTCAAAACTGGATGGTACTTCATATATTATATATATACTTGATTTTATTCCAGATTTCTAGGCTTCTAAGTTCAGTAGTATATTTTTGTCTAAAACTGGCAAGATGTAACATGAAATTTTAAAAAATGCTTTCTCAGCCTGCCAGTGTGATTCATTGGTTGAGTGTAGACCCATGTGGCCTGGTCAGAGCATATGCCCAGGTTATGGGCTCTACACCGGTAGGTGGAGTGCAGGAGGCAGCCAATCAATGTTTCTCTGTCATCATCTATGTTTCTATCTTCCTTTCTCCCTAAAAATCAACTTAGAAAGCATGTATTTTAAAAAATATATATTTTATTGGTTTGTTTTTTTTTTTACAGAGAGGAAGGGAGAGGGATAGAGTCAGAAGAAACATTGGTCAACTGCCTCCTGGACACCTCCCACTGAGGATGTGCCCACAACCAAAGTACATGCCCTTGACTGGAATCGAACTTGGGACCTTTCAGTCTACAGGCTGACACTATAACCACTGAGCCAACCTGTTAGGGCTAAAAAGCATATATTTTTTTAAGGATTGAAAGGAGGTTTTAAAAAAAAAAGTCAGCATAATATATGTATAGAAAATGGGTTGAAGGCATGAGAAAATAATGAAGGAAGAAACTTTTGTAACCAATATGTTATAAAAAGTCTATGTGCCTATATTTGGTCATTATTAAACCTAAATCTTTATTTAAATATTTTTAAAAAGGCATTTTTTCTTCTCAGTGACTAACACATCTCAACTTCTTTCTTCAAAAAAAAAAATCTCAACCTCAGCCCAAGAAGTTCCTCTAGAACTATCAAATATTTTACTCCCAGTCAAGCCAAAGATACAATGTCAACAAGCAAAGAAAACGCCTCTGCAAAGAAAACGCCTTTTGCAACAAGCAAATTTAACTTATGGTAAAGTGCTATTGGTTTTTATTTTTTGGTTTGTTATTTGAGTGCATTGTTAAATGTTCTAGATAATTATTTTCCCGGTGTAGACATAAGCTTTAACTGTGGATGAAAGATCTATACTAATAAAAGCCTATGTGTCCATCATGCCGTCACACCATAACAATCCATCACCAGGAAGCTATGTGCACAATGGGCATGCGTGCATGTGTATAGAGCCACAGAGGTGAGTTTTGGGGTCCTGGCGGCTCCACATGGCAAGGCTGAGGATCCCAGCACTCCACCTCCATGCAATGGAGCCGTGGAGGCTAGACCCCTGACATGGGGTCCCCTGGCTCACGCCTATTCTTTGGGGCAATCCATTGAGAAGCTAGTTGGATGGGCAGTGCCTACCTCTTTGGGGAGATCGATCATGGGTTTCTGCATTGTATGCGGGCATAGGTCAGGATGGGGACAGCCTTTCCCACCTCCCTGAGTGCATGAATTTCATTCACCAGGCCTCTGGTTAAATCATAAAAGGCAGAAGTAATCAGAAACACTGTGCTGGAGGGTGGAGTATTCTTAACCTGAAGACGACTTCTTTTTTTTTATTTTAATCTTTAATCTTTATTGTTCACATTATTACAGTTGTTCCTCTTTTTTACCCCCATAGTTCTCCTCCACCTGGTTTCCCCCCAACCTTCTACCCTTATCCCCACACTGACCTCATCCATAGGTGTACATTTTTTTCCCCTCCCCTTCACACCTCTTTCCCCCTGAGAATTGTTAGTCTACTCCCTTTCTACATTTTTCTTCTTCTTCTTTTTTTTTTTTTTTTTTTTAAATTTCCCTAGCATGTTTTTTTTTTTTTTTTTTTAATATATATATATTTTATTGATTTTTTTACAGAGAGGAAGGGATAGAGATAGAGAGTTAGAAACATCGATGAGAGAGAGTCATCGATCAGCTGCCTCTTGCACACCCCCTACTGGGGATATGCCCACAACCAAGGTACATGCCCTTGACCGGAATTGAACCGGGGACCTTTCAGTCCCCAAGCCAACGCTCTATCCACTGAGCCAAACCGGTTTCGGCTTCTTCTTCTTCTTAAAGAATACCTTTTAGTATTTCATATAATACTGGCTTAGCTTTTTCTTGTCTATGAAGATCTATATCTGACCTTCAATTCTGAATGATACCTTGGCTGGGTAGAGTAATCTTGGTTGTAGGTTCTTGCTATTCTTCACTTTGAACATTTCTTGCCACTCCTGTCTGGCCTGCATAGTTTCTGTTGAGAAATCAGTGGACAATCATGGGTGCTCCCTTGTAGGTAACTGCTTTCTCTTGCTGCTTTCAATATTCTCTCTTTGTCTTTTGCTCTTGGCATTTTAATTACGATGTGTCTTATTGTGGTCCTCTATGGGTTCCTTTTGTTTGGGATTTTCTGCGCTTCCTGGACTTGTAAGTCTATTTCTTTCACCAGGTGGGGGAAGTTTTCTGTTATTATTTCTTCAAATAGATTTTCAATATCTTGGTATCTCTCTTCTTCTGGCACCTCCATAATTCTGATGTTGGCACGCTTGAAGTTGTCCCAGAGGCTCCTTACACTATCTTCATATTTTTGGATTTCTTTTTCTTTTTGCTTTTTTCAAGTTGGGTGCTTTTTGCTTCTTTGTATTTCAAATCTTTGACTTACTCTTGCGATCCTCTCTTCTGCTGTTGGATCTCTGTATATTATTTTTTATTTCAATCAGTGTATGCTTAATTTCTAGTTGGTCCTTTTTCCTATCCTCGAGGGTCTCACTAAATTTATCAGTGGTTTCTAGAAGACTCATGATTAACCTTATAACCACGGTTCTGAACTCTATATATCCAGTAGTTTGCTTTCTTCCATTACTTTCATTTGTGACCCGTTTGTCTCTGCATTTTTGCTGCTTCCCTGAGTTGATAGATTTGTGTGCTAGGTGTGCTATATGGCCCAGTGGCTCAGCCTCCCCAGTTACCTGAGGTGGACACTCTTGGTGCTCCCCTTTGTGGGCTGTGTGCATAGCCTTGTAGGTAAGCCTTGATTGTTGTTGGTATCACTGGGAGGAATTGACCTCCAGGCCAACTGGCTGTGAGGATCAACTGTGTCTACAATAGGAGAACTTTTGTGCTGGAGAGATCCTTATGGGGCAAGACTTGCTTCAGTGGGGCTTTGGTGCTCACTGAGTCTGCCCCCAAGTATCTCCTTTATGGATCTGAGGAGTTGTAATCTGGATGATCCCACTCTGATCCCTGGGTACACTGGCTCTTGGATCTCTAAGGAACTGCTAATTTAGCCTCTGCCTGAGTTCACCCATCAGGAGCTACAGAGACAGAGAGATCTGCAGATTCTTCTTCTTTGGGGTTTGGAGGTGCCCAGATGAGGCCCAGCTGTGAAGCATTGCAAGCTGCTATAGGGCCTTAGGCCTTCTTTTGGTGGCTCTGGGGCTCTCTGACCAAGATGCAGTTTGTTAGGTAAGTTTAGATTGCAAAGGGCCAGGCCATTCATATGCAAAAGCCTCTGTACACAGCTTAGATGGGGCATGGTCTCGGAATCAACAATATGGAGCAAACAGCTATGGTTGATCCTCAGCCCTACCTTAAGAGGCCTCTGGGTCTCAGTTTCCCTCTGTAATCTCTGCAAGCACCATTGAGAGGAAGCTGCCCTCAAGTTCCGCCCACTGCCAGACAGTCCAATTTTTCCCCATATGAGTCTGGGTCCCCAGAGTCTCGCCCAGAACTGGGGTTCAGAGCAGTCAGGAGCTTGTTTTCCTCCCGATTGAAAAAGACAGCCATACACTCAGTTGTGAGCCCTTTCCAAGCACGTGCCTCCCTACCTCTGCACTTAACTTCCGCAGCTCCTCTGAGTCTCAATGTGCTTTTCTCTTTCCTTCTAGTTGTAGAGTTTCCACTCAGCCAGCCTTCCTGAGGTTCTGGATGATGTCTGTTTTGTCTTTTAGTTGTAGTTTTGAAGTGGTTTTGTGAGGCAGCAAGTTCAGATGTTTACCTGTGCTGCAATCTTGGTTTCTCCTGAAGACATCTTTTTAATATTAAGGTTTAAATTTTCCTGTTTTTCTTTTTATTTCATATGAATCTTCTGAAAGTTTCGTTTGACTTTTTTTGTTGTTGTTGTTTTGCAGAGCTTCCAATTCTGAACCAAGAACATGAAAATGTTTCAGCTGCAGGAGTCTCCAACAAGGCATTAACTAGAGCTCAGTTGGCAAAACAAATTTTTTCAAAGGAGAATACAGTTTCAACCACTAAGTTCAAAAAGAACACATTTGTTTTAGAAAACATTAACGCTACCTATGAAAAATTCCCAAATACTACTGTTGAAACTCTCAATACTAACTGTGTTTCTCTTAAAAATGACAGTCAATTAATTTCTGTTAATGAGGTCAGAATAAAAGGGGCTTCACAACAAGAAATTAAGGGAAGAAATGAGAAAACAGTGTCCAGAGAAACTGTTCTTCCAGGTTCTATAAATGACACATGTAAAATTGTGCTTGCAACTCCAGGGTTTAATGTAACAATACCTCAGGAATCAAAAAGATACACTTCAAAGCTTCTTCCAAGTATATGCCAAACTACTACAAATGGAGTTAAAAATAATAAGGTAGGAAAACTTTTAAGACAGATATGTATTTTTGTTTTTATCCCCATTCTTTAAGAACTTATGCTCTTATGGTCTCTCTTTACTACTATTTTTTTTTAATTGATTTTTTACAAAGAGGAAGAGAGAGGGACAGAGAGTCAGAAACACTGATCAGCCGCCTCCTGCACACCCCCACCGGAGATGTGCCCGCAACCAAGGCATATGCCCCTGACCGGAATCGAACCTGGGACCTTTGAGTCCACAGGCCGACGCTCTATCCACTAAGCCAAACCAGTTTTGGCTCTTTACTACTATTTAATGCAGAGGCAGTGGGTTAAAAGCAAGGTCCGGGTGTTAAGTCTTACCGTACTTGATTATTAGTTGCATAGCCTTCAACAATTTACTTACTCCCTGTGGGGATGAACACTAATTTTATTCCTGTTTTTACACCCACCCAGCCCCGATTCTTGGGGTACTATTAATAACAAGAGAAAGGAATTATGTATAGCACTTAAAGATTTGAGAATTTTTTCTTTTGTAAAGAAACAGTGATCAATAAAAAACTTCAGACATCAAACTATGTGACATTAGGACATTTGCTGGAAAAACTGGAATGGAACAATAAGTTCAAAGAGAAAACTAAAAGATTAAGTTTATAGTTATTAAAGGTTTTTCCACTAATTTTTAAAAGGATGATGGTGGGCATTTTCCAGATAGAAGCCAGGGTCTTTATGAAGTTTTCAATTTCTACCTAACCTTAAAATATTAAATTCTGCCATTCTCTGCTCAAAATTCTCTAGTAATTTCTTATTTCAAGAGAAAATAGAAACCTTTATCTGATTTATAGAACTGTACATAATTCAATTCCTGGAGATAATCAGCCTCATCATATAGAGCTCAACAAATATTTGCTGAATGAATATTTTGATATTCTATATAAGCAATATAGTATGGGGTTCTAAAGCCAGAATTTCAATTTTGTAACCTATCTGTGCCACTAACTAGCTAGCTATGTGTGACATGGCAAGTTATTTATATTCCTAAACTAGACCTTACAGAGTTTGTTTATCTATAAAATGAAGTTAATAATATCTCCCAGTGCTAGGAGGATAATCTGAATCAATGCATCTAAAATGCTTGGGACAATATCTAGTGTTAACTTTTATTTTTCCTAGCATCTGACTTATTTGATGTACATGTTTCAAGTAGTTCCCAATTGGAATTAGAAAGAATTTTATTGCCTCTTCCCCAAATCCTACCTATAATTTTTTAAATGAACATAAATGTGACATATAGTAACTAACAGCACTGTTCCATTTTTAACATCTTTCTCTGACTCAACATAAAGTACCACTGGAGAATGTCTTTATGTATAAACTTATAATTTTATATATAAAGTAAATGACTTGTTAAATTAGTCATTTTTATGACCTTGGGCTACATATCTCATCAGAATTAGTTCAATGTTAAATTGTTATATAATAGAAACAATTTCCTACCACTGGTGTTCACAGAAATTTTCCTTATGATAGAATTTTATTTGACCTAAAATAAGGAATTCTCTACTATTCAGATATTTACTTTGAAATAGAATGCTGTTAAATATAGATTCCTACCAATTACTTTTATAGTTTATAAGAAACTGAATGCAACTTCAAATCAACTTTGTAAAGAAAAAAAATATGTACTGTGAGTTTTTAGGAATAAGAGTGATGTGACATATTATGTATATTACACAACTAACCCCCTTTGTCCGAGTTATTGGGATTTTGGTGGGACTTAATGTTTTAATAACTACTGTAGGTTTTTAGGTCATTCCCCCTCCCCTCTCTCCCCACCCCAGGAGGGGTTGAGATACTAGATAACAAGAATATTTAAAGTATAATTGGTTCTGGATTGAAAAGAAACTATGCAATAAGATTTCAGCGCAGTGTTTCTCACCATTCATCTTTTCTATTTTATTTGCTATTTAAAATAGAGTATGATTTTTATATAGATGAGTACTAAGGAATCCTTTGGATAACTTATGAATTTTTCTTTTAATAGTAAATTGATTTTGTAATGCTTTATACTTCAAATAATGGAGAAAATATATACTTTATTTTATATTTAATTAGGTAGTCCAGCTACAGGAATGGATGATTAAAATAATCAACAATAATACTGCTATATGCGTAGAAGGAAAATTGATGTAAGTATAACATTTGAATGTTCATATATATATATATATATATATATATATACAACTATTGATTTCAGAGAGGAAGGGAAAGGGAGAGAGACAGAAACATCAATGATAGAGAGAATCATCAATCAGCTGCCTCCTGCACATACCCCACTGGGAATGGAACCCATAGCCCAACTGGGAATTGAACCACAACGACCTCCTAGTTCATAGGTCAATGCTCAACCACTGTCATCACAAGATTGCCTCTTGCACAGTGGAGGTGGGGCCCAGCAGCTGCTCCACACCATGATGCCTGGGGGTCCTGCGGCTACACGCATTGCGAAGTAAGCCAGTCCCACCATCTCCACTGCCTTGCGCAGAGGAGGTGGTCGAGGCAGGCAAGGGCAGTTGTGAGCGATCAGGCTGGCAGGGGATGTCAGTTGGGGGTGATCAGGCCGGCAGGGGATGTCAGTTGGGGGTGATCGGGCCGGCAGGGGATGTCAGTTGGGGGTGATCGGGCCGGCAGGGGAGGTAAGTTAGGGGTGATCATCTGGCAGGGGAGCAGTTAGGGGGATGATCAGGCTGACAGGCAGAAACAGTTAGGGGCAGGCCGGCAGGCAAGTGGTTAGGAGCCAGCAATCCCAGATTGTGAGAGGGATCGGCCTAAACTGGCAGTTAGACATCCCCCAAGGGGTCCCAGATTGGAGAGGGTGCAGGCTGGGTTGAGTGACACCCTCTCCTCCATGCATGAATTTTGTGCAACGGACCTCTATATAATAAAAGCCTAAGCGACCCTTATGGCAGAATGACCAGAATGACAGGTTGCTATGATGTGCATTGACACCAGGGGACAGACGCTCAATGCAGGAGCTGCCCCGTGATGGTCAGTGCACTCCCAGAAGGCTGAGCTCACGGCTGGCAAGTGCAGCGGCGGTGGCGGGAGCCTCTCCTGCTGCTGCAACAGCACTAAGGAGCAGTGAACAGTTGGACAGTAAGGAGTGAGGGGTCCCAGGCTGTGAGAGGGCACAGGCTGAGCTGAGGGACCCACCTCCAGTGCACGAATTTTGTGCACCAGGCCTCTGATTAGATAATAATATTGTTAATGTAGCTGGAATGCAAATTTATTACTTTCTATTATAATTTGATATACTTACCTATATCCATTGTGACTCCTGTGAATATTTTGGCCTTAACTAAGCTATTTTTTTCTCCTAGGGATGTCACTAATATCTATTGGCACAGTAATGCAATTGTAGAACGGATTGAACACAACAAACTTAAGACATTATCAGGCAACATTTATATATTAAAAGGGATGATAGACCGGATTTCCATGAAAGAAGCAGGTAATGAGTCATTATTAATTGACAAGTCATTTTAATAAGTGGATTAACCATATTTCTAATACTAATATAATTTTTTACTTTTAATTAGGGGTCTTAAAATTGAATCAGTCAAAACTAAAAATTAAAAACAGAATTGACCACATGTAAAATTATTATATTTGACAGTTTAAATAAGTCCAGTGATATTTATTCATTATTTTAATTAAGTTCCTTATTTGGGGAGAATTCCTTATTTGGGGAGAGGGAGAGTGAGAGAGAGAGAGGAGAACATCAATGATGAAAATCATTGATTGGCTGCCTGCTGGGGATTGAGCCCACAACAGGGCATGTGCCCTTGACTGGAATCAAACCTAGGAACCTTCAGCCCAAAGGCCGATGCTCTATTCCCTGAGCCAAACTGGCTAAGGCTACTTCATATTTTTACAAGCATCTGCTCCCTCCTCTTAGGTGAGGGTAGGGGTAGGGGAAGGAGGGTATGACCTGAGCAATAAAAATAATCAGAAAATAACTTTTTTTTCATATGTTCTCATTTGTTTGTAACTAGAGCTGCTTTTATATGGATGAGTAGTCCATATTTCTGTCTGTGTCAGCCTCTGCATTTGTATTCCAGCTCCCATTTTCCCTTTTATTCAAAAATGTCACTGTAGTAATTCTCCCTTCTCCTGTCAAAAACAATCCCTCTTTTCTTGTTTTAGAAAACAGTCCTTTTTACCACACTTCTTTTATCTTCTCTCAATTATAGGAAAGCAACTCTGAGATTTTGTTATATCTATTTCCTCTTGAGTGTTCCCCCATTTTTTCCTTGAATTCTCTTTAATTGTGCTTTAATCCCTAATTCTTCACTGAAGCAGCTCTTATCAAAGTTTCCAGTGACTCTCACATTGCTAAATCCAGTACAAATTTGACATAGTTAATCTTACCTACCGAACTGCCTTGAAACACTTGTTTTTAAAAAAATAATTCTTTATTATTGAAAGTGTTACATATGTCTCCTTTTTTCCCCCATTAACCCCTACCATTCTGCTCCTGTCCCCTCACCCAGGCCTCCATCCCATTGTCTGTGTCCATGGGCCATGTCTACAGTATATGCATACCAGATCTTTGATTGATTATCTCCTCCCCTTCCTCTCCTGCCTTCCTGAGATTCCTCACTCTGTTCCATGCTTCCATGTCCCTGGATTCGCTGTTCATCAGTTATTTTGATACTTAGATTTCACATATGAGTGGGATCATGTGATACCCTGTTTCCCCGAAAATAAGACAGTGTCTTATATTAATTTTTGCTGCCAAAGATGTGCTAGGTCTTATTTTCAGGGGTTATCTTATTTTTCCATGAAGAAGAATATGGTACGCATTTATTGTTAAATGAAAATAAAGGAAATTTATTACCTGTATATGGTACAGTAGTACGGTAGTTGTCAATACAAACCAGACAAACTGTGAATCCTACAGTATCAAGAATTTACTCATTTATTCAATGACAGTCACGTCATCTTCTGGAACATCATCATAACAATCCAATTCCTGAATTTCCTGGTGAATTTCTTGTGACTTCATTTCTTTCAGAATCAGAGGACCAAATCTCTCATGTTTAGCAATAGCACTGTCTTTAAATGAGTACTTCTTGTCAAGGTAGCCTGCTCACAGAGCATTTGCAATGCAACTGTCAGTGATTTTCTCCCCTGAATTCTTCACTCAAGTCACAACTTCTTGCAGTTTAGGTTTCACAAAGTTTCCACTCTTATTTCTCTCCATTCTATTTTCAATGTAGTCATTAACTTCCATGCGCAAATTGTCTTTGAATGGCTTGTTTATTGCAATATCAAGAGTGTGGAGATAGGCCGTCATTCCTGCGGGAATCATTATCTGATCTATTTTTCTTTTGTGAAGAAATGTCTTCATGTCTTTAGCACGGTGAGTGCTGGCTGCATCCCAGACTAGCAGACCTCTTTGGCTCCCTTGCATACCAAGCGGCAGCATTAAATCGACCCACTTCCTTATAACTGCTTGTGTGGCCCAGGCTTTTTCAGATTCAAGAATAAAAATGCCCAAAACATGTTCAATCTTTTCCTTCTTGCCTTTAGAAATGATTAAAGGTTAGTGCCATCCAGACGAATTGCCAAAATACAGGAAACACGTGCACTTTCATAAACAGTGGAGGGAATGGACACTAAGGAGGCACCCCGCTGTTCAATTGTTGTTTGAGATGATTGGCCCATAAACACTGCAGTTTCATCCATAGCAGTCATGTTGGAAAGCTTGTATTTAGAGAAGTCAGCCTCATCAAAAAAGGACTTGAATGCAAGTGCTCACTTAATAATTTGAGTATCTTCCAACCTAAACAATGTTTTAGATCCTTTTTTTTTTCCTCTTTATTTTTTTTTTAATCAATCTTTATTGTTCATATTATTACAAAAGTTCCTCATTTCTTCCCTCCTCCACCAGGTTCCCACCCCACCCTCCGCCCCTTCCCCATCCCCCATTGTCCTCATCCATAGGTGCACAGTTTATGTTCAGTCTCTTCTTCCCTCCCTTTCCCCGATAGTAAATCCCTTTTCAGATAGTGAATCAGTTACTTAGCATTTTCTCATATCAATAATACCTCCACATGCCCAATGATACACTTCACACAAAAGACATTTCCCAATAGGTCAACTAGCCTCATCCAGGCCCCACCCAAGGAACTCACAGATCAACACCCCAGCCCTATACTAACTCAACACATCCAGATCTAAGCCTTCATCACTTGATTCAGCAGACCCTCAAGTTCCCGTGAAAGTTTCCAGCCATGTCTGAGAGGCAGCCATGGGGCAGGGGCAGGCGAGGAGCGAGCTGTTCCGGGCCTGGCTGCTCAGGGCCTGGCCTCTGTTGCTCTGGTTCGTTCCACAACCAGCTGCTCCGGGTCTGGTCACTGCCGCTCCCGACCTAGTTGCTCTGGACTTGGCTGCTGCTGCTCCGAACCTGGCCGCTCCCAGCCTGGCAGCCGCTGCTCCGGGCCTGGCCACACCTGACCCGGCTGCTCTGGGCCCGGCTGCTCTGGGCCCTGCTGCCCCGGGCCTGGCCGCTCTGAGCCTGGCCACTCCCAGCCTGGATGCTCTGGGCTTGGCTACTGCTGTTCTGGATCTGGCTGCTCCCACCCTGGCTGCTCTGGGCCCGGCTTCTCTGGGCCCGGCCACTCCGGGTCTGGGTGTTCCTGGACTGGCCACCCTGGGCTTGGCCGCCTCCGCCTCAGGCCTGGCTGCCACTGCCCCAGGTCTGGCTGCTCCAGTGCTGGCTGTTGATGCTCTGGTTCTGGCTGCTGCTGCTCTGGGGCCTGGCCGTTGCTGCTCCGAGCCTGGCTGCCACTGCCTTGTGCCTGGCCACTCTAGGCCTGGCCGCCGCAGTTCCAACATTCTGTCCTTTTTTTTTCTTTTTTTTTTTAAACGCATTTATGTTGCAATGTTGGCTGGTGAGTTGAGTTCTGACTTAGTCTTTGATTTTTCAAGAACTTCTTTGTATTCTTTCTTAAGTAATTTTACTATCTTTTGCTCTCACTTGATTTCTTCACATTGAGAACTTCTTTGGTTTCTTCCTCCTTGTCCTGGGAGCTCAGCAGGTTGGCCTGTGGCACCCTTTGTTCTCTGCGGTCACCTGCACTGCTTCAGCCTGTTGCAGGGGACGGTGCCGCCCAGGAAGCAGCCCCCCGGCCTTGGCTCCATTGCCTGCGCTGAGCGGTCCAAGGCTCAGGGGCACCCCCCCCCCCAGGGGCCCTGTCGCCCGGCTCCTTTCTGGTGCCCGGTTGGCCAGCGTCCAACAGGGGCTCCTGCTCCCCGCCGCGTTCCCCCAGCCCAGAGCTTTTTTTCTCCTTCCCGCTAGGGGAGTCCAGCATCAGAATCAACAGACTGTCCTCTGCGCGCAGTGTGTGCGAGTCCGGGGGCCCGGCCTTTCGCCGCTTTCCCGGACTCCACCTCACAGCCCCGTCTCCCTCTGCCTGAGCCTGGGTCCCCAGGGATTGGCCCAGAACTGGGGTTCGGAGCAGTCGGGACTGAGGCTCAGCGCCGCCGGAGGCCTTGTTTCTTCCAGCTAGGGTAACCCAGCTTCAGAGTCAACATTCAGTCCTCTGTGCACGCATTGCGCGCGACTCCGGGGGCCCTGCTTTTCGCCGTTCTTCTGGGATTCTGCCTCACAGCCCCGTCTCCCCCTGCCGGAGCCTGGGTCCCCAGGGTCTGGCCCATAACTGGGGCTCAGCGCTGCCGGTTCTGGGGTTCAGCCCAGGCTGGTGTTTTTATTTCCTTCCTGCTAGGGAACGCCAGGCAGCACCCAGCCCTCTCCTCTCCGGCTGCGACCTTTCCGCGCAGGCGGGCGCGCAGCATGTCTCCGTACCTTAGGCTTTTTTTCAGCTCCTCTGATTTTCCTTCTGGTTTTCTCTTTCCTTCTTGTTGTAGAATTTTCAGTCAGTCGACTACCTGTAGCTCTAGGCAATGTCCACTCTACATTTTAGTTGTATTCCATTGAAATTGTTGTGTGCTGCCGCGGTTAGATGTCTACCCGAGCAGCCATCTTGGATCTCTGTTGTAGATCTTTTTAAAGACAGTTCACTTCGCTGAAGGAAATTATCCAGCCAGTTGTGATGCTTTGAAGTCTTCGGGGGCTATGTCAAACTGTGGTGCCATTGCAAGGGCAAATTCTTGAATCTGAGCCCTATTCACAACCAAAGCCTCTGCTCTCCTGTCAACAACCCATTCACAGATCAGGTCTTCCAGCTCAGAAAATAATGGTTGCCGACCTGATCCACACTTGCACTTTTTAACATTTCCCTTGTTCACTTGTTCAATGAGGTTACCATACTCTGCTCGCCATTTTCGGACCAATCGGATACTCAACATCTTCTCTTTGCAGAAAGCAGTAAGATTTTGGCCCCAAGAGTCTTCCATGATTCCTTTCTTATACTCCACGGAATAGCTTTTCTTTTTGTGCTCATTTCTAGGGGTAAAAATAAAGGAATTGGGGTATCAAGGTGG